AACCCACACCTATGATCCCTCAGTGCATCCCCTAAGCCACTTCAGAACCTAACCCAAACCACCACCCAGACATCCCTTATCCTGCTTTCCTAATGTGGGAGCCAGCTCCAGTCCTGGAGCAACTAGTGTTGGCTGCCAGGTCACTGGCTGTGTGGGTGGATTGGGGGAGGGGACTCAAGTCCATCACCCTACACTCCCCATGCAGATGCTGTATCCCCTAGGCCACTCCAGAACCCTCCCTCCCTTCAGAAGGTCCCTTATTCTGTGTTGGCTGTCTGGTCACTCCCAGGATAGGCAGAAATGGGACTTGCTGAGAGAAGGTAGGACTCAAGCCCACCACCCTGTGCGCCACAGGTACATGCTATTTCCTCAAAGCAACTCCAATATCCATCCCATCACCCTACATTTAGGGTGTCCCTCCCATACTCTGAACCCTTTGGTCCAAGATCAGAGACTGCACCCCAACTCCCTACCTCAGCCTGGTGAAAGTGAATGAGATTTGGGGAGGAAGAGGAATGGAGTGAGCAGGGTGATGTCTTGGTGTAGGGGTAGGAGCATGGGTAGGGCCTCAGAGAAGGTAGGGAAGGAAGCGGGGTAAGGGTACTTGGGTTTGAGGTAGATCTTACATTGCACTTATGGTTAAAAAGACTGGAGACTACTGTTCTATACAAACAAATAACAAGGAAAACACTCTTGCCCCAAACAGAATACAGATAAGAAAGAAAGGAATGCTAGAGCAGCATTAATGTTCTCTAGACCAGCCAGGGACTATGGACAAAATAACAAAACTCTGCAGTCAGTGGTTTCAAAAGTTACTGTCAGATCTTAAAACATCAAAATGATTGCCAACCACCATTGGGATCTCCCATCATATCATACCCTAGAATCACAGGTGTTAGAGACAGAAAATGTATTTTAAGTCATCCATTTTATCTGCCTACTGGCATATAATGAATTCAGTCCACAACACACATTGTGGAAGAGCAAATACATCAGCTGAAGGCTTGTCCATATGGGAAATGTTTCTAGTTACATTAGCATAATTATAACACTATAGTTAAACCTCTGTAGCTATATCATAGTTTAACCCACTACGTGGATACTTCTATTCTGCAATAAGAATGCCTTTTTTTCCTCAGCTTTGTTTAAACTGCTTTCCAAAGACATATATTAAATCACAATTTACCTTATACTATTAAAACTTTCCCATGTAGACAGGCCCTGAGTATATTATTATATAGCTTTTTTTCTTTTTCCCTTTTTCCCTGATAACCCTTTTAAAATCCTAACTAGCATTCAATCCTAACAGATACATTCTTATTCATAATAATGTATATTATTAAACCTCATTGTATATACTGAACCTTAATAAGCTATTTGCTTAACGGGGCATTTTGAATTTAAAAATCTTGAGCCAGTTTCTTATGCTAATTTGCATCACCTGCTACGTCCCCAGGTGCTGTAAAGAAATATTTTCCTTAATGTACAAGTTACAATAATACTAAAAGTGAAAGGTATTTAAAACTTTAGTTTATGTCCCACTAATAATGTTTTTTGTTTACTTTCTGCATGTGTCTCAGTTTCAACAATGCAAATCCCACCCCAACAGAATGAGGATCCCTTTGCCTCATGATGGGGTTGGTGTCTCCTATGCAGGATAAGTGAAGTCACTTTCAGGGTGTTTGTTATATGTTCTGCACTGTTTGGGTTTTCTAAACTGCAAATGTAAAGTAGGAGTATGTTTTATGAAGGTTGGGTCTTTAATGTTTAGATGGAGGGACCATGCCTTTAATTATATCATTGCTTAATTTGTGTATTTTGGAACAGATTAAGTAAGACCCAGGCAACTAACCTTTTCTCTATTTATCATTGTATATCATCATAATATATGCTCATTTTCTTTTCTTTGATAAACAATATAGTCATTTAAGTCCTGATTCTACAAACATTTAAAATGTGTGTTTACTGCTCAAAAAGACCCAGTCCTGCAATCAGTAATCATATTGACATAGAGTCCTCACTCCCCATGCTCCTAATCCTATTTGCTGACTTATGTGGAGATGTCTATTTCTGCTTGCCCCCATGATGAAGCATCTCCCCAGGTGGGGGTATAGAGTCCCCTCTTTCTTCATAATGGGATGTCTCCACTTTTGCTGGAATCCTCTTGCCCCTTCTTCTGGGATGAAAATCCCTCTAACCCCATGGGTGGCTCCCTCCAGGATAGGGAGCCCTGTGCCATCATGATAGGATATCTCCCCTCTGTGATGGGAATTACCCATATTCTTGTTATGGGGGCTCTTCTCCCCCAACAGGGATTTTTCTATGCCCATTGTGGAGAGTCTCCCTTAAAATAGATACCCCATGATGAAGTGCACCCAGAATTGGAAGCCTATCTGCCTCATGAGAGGAATGTCTTCCCTGAGTTTGGGAAATCCTACTAGCTCATTTTCTCCAAGGGTGGAGCTCACCCTACTCTCCATGACAGACTACTCACCCCAACAGAATGGGGACCCCTTTGCCTCATGATGGAGTTGGTGTCTCCCATGCAGGATAAGAATTCTCATGTTCTGATGAGAGGTCGTTTTGGGATGATACCCCTGACCAATGATGGTGTCTCCCACTCCCTTTTCCAGGGGATCCCCAACTCATGAAGGGGTTTCCCCCCACGATAAGAATATCTCTGCCTTCCCGATAGGGCGTTTCCTCCGGAGGAGGAGATCCGGTACTCCCATTGTAACTTGTTCCCGGCACCCCCATGGAGATGGGGGTCTCTGTGGGATGGTGCTCTCCGTTCCTGCCCCTCATAATGGGGTGACCCGCAGGCTCCAGGAGGGCTGTCTCCCTTCGGGTGGGGATCCATCCGGCTGAGGTGTCTCCGAGTGGTCATCCCCGCCCCACGCCAGTTCCCCCTGCAGGGGTCGCAGACTCGGCATGCCGGCCCCCGTCCGGGGATATCCCCTGCCCCTCCCGGCGGGCCGCGGGCGGCTCCATGGAGGCGGAGATGTTGTGCGGGCTGCGGGCGGGGTGGGGGCGCCGCAGAGCCGAGGCCGGCCCCGAGACTGGCGCCATCGGGAGGGGAGCGGCGG